CAGTCATTAATGGGCAGGAAGTCTCTGTACCGAGCTGCTTCCAGTTCATTCATAAATCAAGCAGATTTTTACTAAGTCCCCATTCATAAATGAATAGGAAGTGATGTCTAGCACTTCCTGTTCATTCATAACTAGGGACATAGTAAGGCCACTGGAGATCAACAGCACTGAGAAGAAAATGTTCAGTTATTTATGATATACAATGCTTTAGCAAACTAACAGGGTTATTCACAAAAGGGTGAAGAGTTTGGAGAAGGCAGGAGAAGTGAACAATCTAGGACAACATAACTGAACTGGAAAGTGAGCTGAATTGGAGAATTTTTCCAAATCAGCTATTTTGGCCTAGACTGTTCACTTCTCCTGCCTTCTCCAAACTCTTCAGACTTTTTGAATAACCCTGTGAGCGATCAGTACTGATTGCTCAGTGTTTGTGCTCCGCTCTCCATCCTGACTGCTCTGCCCCCTCCTGGGCTTTCTTTTCTCTACTGCCCTGCTCAGCATCCTAACAGCATTCTTCCTCCCTGCACTGCCCCGCTTAGCCTCCTGAAAGCTTCTCTAGCTGGGCCCAAGCAGCTGGATCGGCTCTATGTCCCCTCTGATCCCTGATGCCTCTGTCAACACAGGCAGGGGAAAGCAGCGATGATTGGAGGGGACACTCCAGGAGAGGATTGGGATGCGTGGCATTTTCATCCAGTTTTTTGGTACTATCGCCATTTTGACCAGAGTACCATTTTTTGCCCAAAATGTTTTGGAGGTCGAAATTTCAGTGCATCCCTAATTTGTACCCCTGCAAATGGCCTAGTTGGCAACATTTAATGTAAAGATGCATCATTTCAACACAACTGAATTCTTAATAAATCAATGGCAGAGTTCACAGCAAAGCAGAAGTTTTGCCATCTAGCAGTTGTCCAAGCTCTCAGATAATAGCAGGTGTTTCCCACTATCTGTTATCATTCATGAGCTGGGTTTATTTATTCATTACAGGTTTTTTTTTTTATAAGCATGGTCAGTTTTACACAGCGTTCTACATACTACAGCATTCTACATACTATTTATTTAAATCAGTGCCTGCCCCCAAGGAGCTTATAATCTAAAGTCCGTATCTCACATGCATACAGACATACTAGAAGCCAATTAACCCAACAGTATGTTTTTGGAGCAAGCTCCATAGAAACAGTATACTGACCAGAATTCGAGCCAGGGACCCCCAATGCTGCAAGGCATAATTGCTAACAATTAAGCCACTGTGCTGCTTAAGCATACCCACCAGCAACCAGGAGAACCTCTGTCATGTTTTTATTACTGGCTGTTACAGCTGGCTCCATTTCTCTCAGCTCCACTTCCCTGAACTACCTGTCCAGTACAAGATCTTAAGTGGCAGGGCAGTCTCCAGCAGCTCTCCATCTACAAGATTGGAGAACGGAGAAGCAGGACGGCAATAAAAGAAGCAGGGACACAGGTCTTGCTGTGCCTGTGTGTTTGTGGAGACACACAGCTTTCTAGCACACACAAAGGAGGCTCCATAGGACCCTGCAAGGGAAAGGAGCCACCATAAAACATTAGTCGTTGCTTGTGCACTTATAAGTGGTTATGCGTATAGATATGAACACTTGCATTATAATTATTGACACAATACCAACCAAACAATTTTAGGCTTTGCCGAAGCTCAAGAAATGCTGTGAAATGGTTCCTGTATGTATGTATCTATTTCCTTAATTTCTTATTCTGGTGACAAGATGTGATTGAAAACCTCCCTTTTGCTTTTGGCGTGAAATGCAGCAGTAATACAGTAGACGTTCTAAGCTTTTCCAATTCAATCCAAAACTAAAAAACAAATTTTGATGGAGTTGGACTTAAATCAGAGGGATGACACCAGAGATGATAATACCACTGAGTAAAAGAAATTGGAATATTTAAAATGTGTCGGGATATACAGCTTCTCTGCAAGCAGAATAAAAACATACTGTAGAAGTCCAGGTTGTCTTTATAAACGTTGGAATACATTTTAGAGACATCAGGAGAGTAAAAGTAAACATGCCCCAAGGGGAGAGTAATAATAACTGAGCTATATGTATAGATTGTAGAGTGAGAATTCCTATCCTGGTAAATTTGCCAGGACTGCATCTTGAATTACTAAATAGTCCTGTAAATGCTGCATTCGCTGGAATCCCATAACTTCGGCAAAGTTCTAGTAAATGCGGCTCACCATGTTTATGATCTAATGAGGCTGACTTTTCCTTACATCCCGGCCAGTTCTACAAGTCATAAACAGCTTGTCTGTAAAAAGGTTTTTAAAGCATCTGATGACCATGAGAACCAATGATGTTCTTTTCAGACATATGTGGCTTTATTGCTGCCCAGTTCCCACTGGAGAAATGTCTTCTTACTTCCTTTCCTGATTATCACAGTCACTGGGACACGAAGTGTAGGAAATCTCCACACATGGGCCATGCTAAAAGCCCATCTCCAGTTTTACCTGCACCGTGCTGTGCCACATCATAATTAAAAGTGTACATACCCTTTCTGTAAGACTTTTCTGGCCAGTTCAATGGCATCACTTTCTCTTATCCTCCAGCAGCTGCAGTACTTACTCCTACAGTGAACCACCAAAGGCCCTCACAAAATGACTTTTGTAATTTAACATTGGTAATTGGATTTATGGACCAATACATTTTGATGCTGAATCAGTGTACTTTGGCGTATGCCTAACAGACATGGTACAAGTAGGACCTCACATAAGACCATTTTATGGATGGTGTAAGGTAACAACCACCCTGCGTAGACGTTTATCAGAGATAAACTGTGTTAGGAATCAAATGACACTCTAAGAGCAGCTGTGCTTAATAGGTGAGCACACCTAAAATAGGAAAAAAGAGAAAAGCGCAGTGCTATTTTCTCTTTTTACCTGTTTTCCGGGTAACTGGAAAATGTGCGCTAGTGCGCATGCGTGCAAACGGACTTGCGCTTGGAAAGGTGCGCACATCAGTCGCACAGGAAGTGACGCTTCTCCTGTTAATTGATTGGCCTATTTAAACAATATCCTTAGTTGCTGGATGATCTTCAGCTAGTTCCCTGTGTATCCCTGACTCTGCCTTGTTGACCTGCTTCCTGCGCTTGACCTGGATTGTCTCTGACCACTCTTGATTACTGCCTGCATCCTGACCTCTGCCTGTTTACTGCACTTCCTTCTGCCCCCTGTTTTGTACCTCGCTTAGGCTGGCTTTGACCCCTTGGCTTCCATTGGACATCACTTCCGTCTCCTGCTCCGGTACCCTGCTACCCGTCCGGTTTGACCTTGGCTCTTTCTGACCTACCTCAGTTCTAGATCCTGTACTTTCTGCTCTGCACGGTGTCTACACCATTCTTGGCACTCGTGCTGCTCATTGTCACTCCTCCTCTGTTTCCATCCTCAGTGTTGAGGGACAAGAGCTGTAAGGGAAGCCTCCTCAACTATCGGTCTCCACTCAAATACGTGACAGATTGTGGTGTCCAATCAACATACATCTGGTCTTCCTCCTGAGTGCCTTTAATACATGTTTTTGAAAGTATTTAGGGCAGTAGATCTGCTTTAAATTTAAACTTTAGACCAGTGTTTCTCAACCATTTTTCAGTGATTGCACCCTTTAAAAGTATGCAAAATGTCAAGGCACCCTAGTCCAAAATGTAAAAAATTATGTGTGGTCCGTACAAAATCCAAACCAGACCCTTATCCGAGATAGGGGTCTTGAATGTATTTTAAAGGGGAACCCCATCAAAAATACAAAAAAAGTAGGGTTCCACCATTCCTATTAGAGTCCTTCCTTTACATTAGGAGCTGCAGCTGTGGCAGCATATCAGAGAGTGCCAGGCAGAGCAGGGCTGGATGGAAGCTAACTTCTGAATGGATCCCCCCCCCTCCATGGATTAGTGTCATTAATTTCCATGGTGCTGATGGCCAGCCCGACTACAACATGGAGAAGCATGATAGCGTTAAACATTTTGAGACACCCTTGAGGTAGCCAAAGGGCACCCAAGGGTGCCACGGCACCCTGGTTGAGAAAGGCTGCTCTAGACTGTAAGATGTTCACAATTTAGTTATCAAGTGTTCTGATTCAGGAAGCATGAGTTAAAATAATACAAAGAAATTAATGTTATGATTTAAAGGAGAACTATGAGGTGAGTGCTTTTCACTCACCTCATAGTTCTAGCCGACCTGTGACAATGAGACTGTCACAGGTTGGCTCAGTAGATCGGGAGGTGAGCGAACACATACCGGTGTTCGCTCACTTCTCGATCCTGTCACGGCTCTCTGCCGTGACAGGGGAGGGGCTGGATTCCCCCCTCCCCGCTCCGATCCGCCAGCGCTGACTGGCGGAACGAACGGGGGAGGGGGCAGGTACAGCTAGCTCTGTAGCTTGCGGTATACTGAGCTTAGGGTGACGGGGCGACACTAGTTTGTGTCCTCCCGTTACCCTAAGGAGAACTATGGGGAAAAACACTGACTCCATAGTTCTCCTTTAAGATACTTGCTTTTTGCATAAAGGATTTTTTTAATACACTGTCACCATTGACTTCAGTGGAGTTCAGGGAAGAAGGCTGTATTTTCTTTTTACATTGGAGATACAATTTCTGGGAATGATGGGCAGAAATATGGTCCCAAAGGGCTAATGAATGGGACAAAGGGCTACTGGTCCCAAAGAACACACCCATGACACCAGAAGAACCAAAAGGAGTGGTCTGTTAAGAGAAAAGCACAAAAATGTGCCAGATGTAAAACATAGTAATAATTAAAGGACATTTTCTTCTGTGTGTTGCCTGCTACTGACACTAACCAACAAAAGGTAATCACATGAGAAAGTTTGTTAGGAGCTATCCTGTTGAGAAATGAAGAACAAAATCAAATTCCTTTGTTTCTGGTACTCTGTAGCTTTTCTTATTTGATCTTTAACTTGCAGCAAAGTATGGAGAGCATACAACACGGTTCACTTTATTCTACTTTGTAATAAAAAACAAATGCTTACCTTGTTTAAATTGTACTTAATAGTGTCATCATCTCTCTCTAAGACCTTTAGCATTTCTTGGCTTCCCATGTACATGGCGTTTACTGCAGACACAAAAGAAATTAGGTTGTTAAAAAAACTAATAATATGAAATAAATGTTCTGGTCCTCAAATATAAATTAACCTGTGACAATTGGATACTCAGTGACTACAGTCAGGACCGGATTTCCCACAAGGCCACAAAGGCCCGGCCTCGGGGCAGCAGGGAGTAGAGAGGCAGCAGGGAGTAGAGGGGCAGCAGGGTCGTAGAATTCCTATCTCCCGATGCCTGGGTGGGTAGTTGTTTTCTACATTTAACCCTGCTTTGTGCAAGCAGAGCTAAATGTACAGCGGGGAAGCCACTGCTTGTTTTGTACAAGTAAATCTCGGCAACATTGTATGCAGCCCGCAGGCAGGTCTGCCATTCTCAATGGGGGGGGGGGCGCATTGAGGAACCTGGACTTGGGGCAGTAGAGAAAGTAAATCCGGCCCTGACTACAGTTGAGAGAAATACCTGACATGCATCTACACATTTGGAAGGCAATATGTTTCTTAATGCCTGCTGTGACCAGTAAGACGCTTCATTTTCTCAATAGTTATAGATAATAACTGATGAAACTGGAACTTCACATAACTTTAATTACTGTCCAGATGACATGGCAGAAGATGAAGAAATGACGTCCCCTATCAGAACTGATTTTAAAATCAGAACTGGTGTCGCCACTTGGAAACTTTCTGCTACCTACTTTCCCAGTGATTCTGTCAATAGTGGCATCTCCCTTCCAACAACTGTCCTCAATGGGACACCAATAAAAATGACAGAGCTTCTAACTCTTGATTACGTTGCCCATACTAAAATAAAATGATGGCACTTTTAATAAGACTGCTTCATTCAACAAAATATTTCTGCCTGTACAAATATCTTGAAATGTATGCAAGCCTCTAAAGCATGGGCTTGACACAAGGCTGGACAATTCCCAGGAGTCAGGTAGCCAGTGCTCCTTAATTATTACATCTGATGCCTAACTTTTGAGGTTCTCTCCAGTTATTGTGAATGGAGCTGGCTCCTAAAATATCCTGATGGCTCCTGGATTGGACAGACTGGCTCCTGTATTCTATATCAATTTGTCCACCCATTTTAGCAGCTCCAGAAAAAACAATGCACACTAATTTCTCACAGCATAAAGTCCACCAGTTAAAAGCCAGCAGGAACAGCTCTAAGTGACACTCAGGAAATAAAACCTAAAAATGCATTTAAAAACCTTATTAGCAAAAAAGTATCTTATTTGTGTATCACTCGGCTGTAGAGCCTCAAATCATCTCTGAATTGGTGTTGACACTGTCCTTCCTTCTGCAAGGGTGCGACTTTTGTTCCTCATGGTCCCTGTGTGTTGTAAAGTAGTCACCGCTCCAAGCTTGTTCCAGTGATGGACTACAATCTCATGTTTAGTTTACTAATTTGTATTGAGATTGTATTCCATCATGGGAGCGAGCTTGGAGCGGTGACTACTTTACAACATATACAGGGACCATGGGGAACAAAAGTAGCCACACTCCAGAAGGAAGGTCAGGGTCAGCAGGAATACAGAGATGATTTGAGGATCTACAGCCGAGTGATACACAAATAAGATACATTTTTGTTATTGGTTGGGGCACTTGAATGCATTATTAAGGTTTAACTCCTGAGTTTAGTTTCAGTTTAAGGCAGGGGGCTATCCAAGAAAGGTCTTACAAGTGCTCTTGGGTGCCTTCACTCACTTCAGGTCTGTCTTTGGATTTATCATGATTCCACCACCCTTCATTATGAGATTCACGCATGGTCAAGCTGCATGTGCGCCAGTAGCTGGAGCTACCACTGCACCTTTAACACTGCGATTGTTGAAAATGTTTCTATATATAATATTTCTCTGTGGAGGATCTTAGCATGTATTATAAATAATAGAACCCATCAATGTGTGAAGCACCGTTATACACTTCTTTAAAGGAGAACTATGAGGTGAGTGCTTTTCACTCACCTCATAGTTCTAGCCGACCTGTGACAATGAGACTGTCACAGGTCGGCTCAGTAGATCGGGAGGTGAGCGAACACATACCGGGTTCGCTCGCCTCTCGATCCTGTCACGGCTCTCTGCGGTGACAGGGGAGGGGCTGGATTCCCCTCTACCCGCTCCGATCTGCCAGCGCTGACTGGCGGAACGGACGGGGGAGGGGGCGGGTACAGCTGGCTCTGCCTCTAGATAGGCAGAGCCAGCTGTCACTCACGGAGCTGGGCGGATCCCGTCATCTAAGTCGTGATCCGGGGGGGCGCTAGTTTGTGTCCTCCCGTTACCCTAAGGAGAACTATGGGGAAAAACACTGACCCCATAGTTCTCCTTTAATTGTAAAATGTTACAACGCTTACAATGGGGGTAATAAGAACTGTGCTTGGATTTTTTAAAGGACTTTCTGACACCTTGGGGTTGATTTACTAGAGGCAAATAGACTGTTCGCATTGCAAGGGAAATTGCACTTTGCAGGAGAAGATTCCCTTAGTTTATTCACGTTGCAAAGAATACCCAATCACATGCATGGAAAATATGAAAAATGTAATTTTTGCTTGCACGTGATTGGTGACGGAAGTCAGCAGAGCTTCACCTCATTCACTAAACTGAGAGGAAACTGCCTAGCAATTCTTTTTTTTTTTTTAATCAATCTGATTCCAGTTATCTGAGTTGTTTTAACTTCAGGTCTTTGTAGATGCATTAGAGTTAAACACCTGACAATTGTTTTTATATCTCTTGGGCACTCTGATATTGAGATGTCTCAGTATCTCTTGTGCCTTAGTCTTACCCATTGAAAGCGAGCCCCGAAAACATTCAAAACTCACAGGTCAACAGTAGGGAAGTCGGTATTAATGGAAGATTGCGAATGTTGGGAATATGAAAAATATAAAAGAAGCCAAGAACTGCCTCCAGCTACAACTGCCACTTTAATAAATGTATCCTTCTAATTTCTGTCATCACTATTTACTGTTGGACAAACAATGAAAAAACTGCAAGATTTTACTTTTTGTATTTTGGTGCTATCCTCCCATGTGCTGCTGTTTTTGGCACTTGCATATGAGTGTAATAAAGTAAAGACAGTCTACCTTACCTACTGCAGTGCCACTTAAGTGGCTTCACTAGAGATGGCTAACAGATTAAACATTTTAATCTCGAATTTCCTGCATTTACTCTGAATGACACAGCAAGCAACTCTATGGTCTAAACAACTCTTGTTTAGACCATAGTCTTTATTGGCACAAAGAGAAGACTCATAAGGACAATTGTGGTAAGTTTTGGAACGCCACTAAGTCCAGCGCATGCTGTGGCACATGTAGTGCCTTGCATGTTAAGGAAACATAGGCTACAACATACAGTACGTGACTTGTTAGATCTTCTCTTTTAATCACTTGCTCCCCGAAGCAATTTCTTACATTTGCACACACATGATAAAATCAGAATTTGGCTAGAAAACAGTTTCAGACCCCCAAACAATGATATATTTTCTGAAAGCAGAGGCCCTGTAGAATAAAAAGATGCTAGTTGCAATTTTTATGTTGCACGATATTTGCGCAAATGTTTATCAAACAAATATTTTTAGGATAAAATACACTAAAATGAAATTTCGTGCACAAAAACAGAATATAATGCCCAATTTTTTGGTAAAATATAAAACTTAAGGCCGCCATCACTTCCTCTTAATCCGGAAATATCTGTCCTCCTCCAGACATTAGTTGTTTGGTAAGTACGGGGTACCCACCTTTCGGGGGACCTCATACCTGTGGTGCCGATTGCTTAAACATTCCAATTTATGTTATATTCATTTATTAATGAATTGAATGATGCAATTAAATCAATTGATGTATAATTGTTATTACTATTATTATTGTTAGATTAGCCTCCCGTGGTACCCTGAAGAAGCTCGGTGTGAAACGTGCCGGATATGTCAGTCTTCCAGCGAATGAAAAATTAATTACAATCAGAAAATGAACAATGAACAATTAATAATTAATGATAATCATGTAAATAAATGGATAATTAATTAAGTTATAACCGGTTGACGATAGACATATCCTGGGCACTTGTTGCATGTTACAGCTAATTGGGGGCTTTTTATCTGTATTCTTATGAATTGTATATTGCTCATGAAATGTTATTCATTTAATTATTTTATTCAATATATATACAATAAATTTTGAAATTTTTTATACACATGTATTGGTTACATACCTCTCTTACACCCCTATTTTTTGCCTTTTCTTCATATATATACCCAGAGGATGGAGAGGTGCAATTAGGGAGCTACTGTCGAGGCAGACTCAAAGTTGATTACTAAAATATAAAAGACGGGGTCACGCCGGGTAATTAGATACCAAACATGTCAAGCCTTAAAATTGCGTGCGTCCGTGAGACCGCAAAAACTACAATAGCTAGGGACGTCCCGATACCG